ACCGGATGGTGTTATTATTTCGGCCAGAGACAAGACGACTTAGTGGTTTCGAAGGAGGTACTGTGAGATAAGAAGCCGCCACGGCAGCGTAATTAGAACAGTCCGCATGCCTGGACGACCGAGCGACAAGCTTATTTTGGTTTACCGGACACATGTTAGACTTTTATTAGCAGTTGGCAGAGGGACACTGGCAGACAATTCGGACACGATGGACTTTCAAAGGGATGAGAAACTCCTTTCCGCTAGACACCCGGACCAGCTCACCGAGGCCCGTCCCCTACGTTGTTGCGCTGCGTCCACAGCCAGCTAGAGGCCCTTTCGGCTGCCTCTCCCAGTTTTTTGAGTGCTCGTTTCCGTTCATTACCGCGCAATCCTAATTATTTCACCACATTGTAGAGCGAAGTGGAAACGAGGCCTCTCGCTCCCACTTCGACGGCAAATACCCTTACTGTGTAAGCCTCGTTTCTCCTCAAACCGGCTGCTAAATCACTGTACTTTTCGAGCTTGTACAAATGATTCTCCTCCATACGCGACTCAAACGGGACCGTCAACTCAATCAGGATGAGTTGCCGTTTTTGCGCAGAATGGAGAACGATGTCCGGTCGCAGGCCGGTTTTACGGTTCAACTCGGGATACCGTTCATGGCCTGGCAGATCAACCGCCAGTAACCAGTCTCTCGCAGAGTCTAGTACAGATGGAGCGAATGCGTTTTGGTTGACCTTACCAATTGGAACCTGCCCAGCCTTGAGGAAACGAATGGGGGCGATACTAGAACTGGCTCTGGCGTTAGCCCTCATTCTAGCCTGGTCGACAACGGCTGCTAACTCCTTTAGCACCTTGTTGTGGCGCCAGGTATATCGGCCTTGACCTAGGGCTTTCCTGCACGCGGACAGGACGTGCTCAAGAGTTTGTTTTGATTTGCACAACGGGCAAGTCGGATCGTTGGTCGCAGACCATTTAACCATGTTGACACCGGACGGTAATACATCGTACGCCGAACGAACGATAAAGCTCAGTCGCAGCGGGGTCATCCGCCAGATCTCACCCCATGTGAGTATTCTAGGCAATGCGCTCTCCAGGCTGACCCAATGGCCCTGCTGCGACTGCTGGGCTGCTTTCTGGACCCGAACCTCGTTTTCGTTGTCCCTCACCGTTTGTATCACCATGTCTCGGCGCTCTTTGGCTGAGGCCTTTGACCACCAATTGACTTTCCCGTGCCCTAGGCCTCGACGGTCGGTTTGTGTGTAACCCATTACCTCCTTCAATTTTAGTGCGTTCTGAGCAGATTCAATCGCATCGAGGACCCTCCACTTGGTACCAGTCTTTAGAGCGGGCTGGACAGCGATGACATTTGGGTCTGAAGACTCGCGCAGAAGCATGGCGAGCCTTACTTTGCCGACTTTAAACTCTTCGGTTATTGACTTGAACGGAAGTACCAGCTTAGCCTGTTTACAATACAGAGCCACGTCGGTCAGACAAGGCGGTGCACCAATCCACTTTCTTAAGGCTGTGTTGATTTTTTTCTCCATGGCTTCCACTGCAGTCATCGTCACCTCGTAGACTGACAGTGGCCATAGGAGTTTCGGAATCAACATGAATTGGAGACACCATACCTTGAATTTCTCGACCAGCCTGCATCGCTCGATCGCGAGCAGGCCTGTAGCCAGTGACTCGTGTATTCGCCGGACCTCCGCTCTATCGGATAACTTCGAATCGTAAACGCGACCGAGACTCTTCACCGGTTCCTCCAGAACCGTGGGGATCTTGTTCCTTGCCACCGTAAAACTGGTTGCCACCACCCGACCCTTATTGATTGACAGACTCCTCGACTTCTGCGGTTTAAACTGCATTCCGCTCCATTGGACCACCGCGTCCAATCTTTTCAGGATCGTGCGGGCAGACTCCTCGCTGCCCGTTATAATAGTCGTGTCATCCATAAAGGCACGTAATGGTGGCATCCAGTGGTCCCCAATTTGAAGGCCCTGTCCGTAGCCGGCCGCCCCGTCTAACACGATCTGCATTGCCATGACAAACAGTATGGGTGAGATCGTACAGCCCATAGCTATCCCAATCTGCAACTCAGTCCACCTCGTGGTAAACGTCGAGGTAGAGAAGCGCAAAGCGAACTTAGAGAAATATTGCTCGACCATTTGACTGATCTGTGTCGGTACGTGAAACATGCGAAGGGCTCGCCACAGTAGCCTATGAGGTACTGCTCCGTAGGCGTTGGCTAAGTCCAACCATATTACGTGCAATTGTGTTCTCTCATGCTTGGCTCTCTGGATAGCCTCCCAAATCATGGTCGCGTGTTCAAGGCACCCAGGAACGCCTGGGATACCACCCTTCTGAACACTCGTATCTATGTACTTATTAGTCATCAGATACTGTGTGAGCCGGCGAGCCATGACTGAGAAGAATATCTTACCCTCGACATTCAACAGCGAGATGGGCCTGAATTGGGAAAGACTCTTCGAGTCCTGCTCTTTGGGAATGTAGACCCCATTTGCCTTTGACCACTCTGGACATATGTGATTGCGGATCCACGCTTGTCTCAACAAGACGTGAAGCATTTTAAGGATTTTCGGGCAACGCTTGTAAAGAACGTATGGAACACCGCTCGGACCTGGGGCAGACTTGCCGCTGGCTTTTTTCACAACGTCCTCAACCTCAGACCAAAGGGGAGGTACCATTTTAAATGGTACCTTCGGCACCGAAGGCTGTTTGAGTCCGCTAAGGATCTCTGGATTGTCATCGAGAGGCTCTCTCCTCTTTTTATCCGAGTATATCTTGCGTAGATGTAGCTCTAGTTCTTCCTGACTGACAACCAGAGTCCCAGACTTCGGTTGCTCGAATAGACCTCGGGCAAACTGATACGGGTCCCTAAAGAATTTCTCTCGCTCCCTTTTGGTTCTACGTCTGTTGTTACAGAAACGCTCGGCACGACAGAGGGCACTGTGTTTGTTCTTTAAATGCAACCAAACTTCGTACAGCCCCTCCCGTTCGCTGCCTGTAGCGGCTTTGAACCGTTTTCTGAGGGCATTCTTGTCTGCCCGACACTTCAGAATGTCCCTCTGCCTTCTGCTAATATATCTAGAATATACCGCCCTCAATATTGGAAAGTTGGCAAGAGAAAAGGTGGCTGACTCAAGAATTGTGCATCAATTGGCTAAAAGCATTGTCTTAGGTGTCAAAGTGCCACGTGGATCACTGGTTCATGCAAGGCACATAATATTCTTGAGTCCATTTAACTGAAAAAGTAAAGGAGACGTTGCGGCAAGAAAAGAGCTATTTGTTTGCAATTATAGAGGGCATTACTGGCGTATTAAAGCCAGCAAAATTTCCCTAAATAGGTTAATTACTTGTCCTGCGTTTTTATTGCAACAATGCCGAGGAAAAGAAAGATCATTAGTCTAAGAAGAATGGCACTGTGAAGAGATACAAGGGGATCTGGCCGACGCTCGACAAGCGGGAGAAAGGCGAAACGGATATACAATCAGACAGTTACTGGTACTATCGGAATTTTAACACTTCGCTTGCTGCTGAAGATAGGGACATTGCGCTTTTGGAGTTTCCCGACACTGTGATGCCGATTCTTAATTCAACATTCAGCTACGTTTTTTTTTTTTTTTTTTTGCGATTGGAAAGGCAGTTCAAAGAAAATGACCGGCAGTTTAAAGAAAGCGCTATTATCTCAATTATGTGAGTGTATTGTGGCTACATAGAAACTCATGCGAGACAGTATGGTCGCCAAGAGATTCAAAGTAGCTTCTATTTCAACCTCGATGGGCGGCACTAGAGACGACGCAGGATGGCAAGTGCTATCTAACAGTGAGGACTATAGTGGAAGTGAAGAGAAGTGCCAACTGACGAGTAAGACTAGTTGTTGTCAGTGCACAATGGAGTCAGTTACCGGTATTGTCTTTACAAGGTACGTTTTTAAATGGTGGTTTTTTGTGTTAATAAATTATGTACAAGTCACATGTAGGTATAATATCTAGAATCTAAGTCGAACCCTATGTATTTTCAACAATTTTTGGTTGCATAATTCCCCACTACTAAGGCCTGTACATGCGTAAATACGGTATTTCTGTATGCATGTATCTTTTAAAGTTTCAGTTTATATTTAAGTTTGTATATATGCATTATTATGTCTGTGTGTAAATGCATGTCTGGTCTCTCTCTCTGTATATATATATATATATATATATATATATATATATATATATATATATATATATACATACATATATGTAACATATATAAGATTGTGTGGGTTTACATTTATATACACACACACACATAGTTAACTTATCACAGTAAAAAGAAATAATAACTTTGACTTTTTACTCACCCAGGTAGGTCATTACCTTTTGTCGATCTCTTACAAAGTAACTGCCGCTGCTGCCTTTAGCACAGAGCGTGGGATCGATCCCATCCTCAATTGCAGCTTCAATCTCCTGAACAATGGCTGAAAATTCGAAATCATCCGGAAAATAATTAAGAGTGACGGCACTCTGATGACTGACCGACGATTTGGATACAGCAGACGGAGTAACTGAGAGAGATGGCCCCAACTCTTCTTGCCTTAGATTGCTGTCTTTACTAATTGCTCTTCTGGCCATTGTAAAACGTTGTAGTTCACATGATTCATGCACACTGACTGTTTAAGTGGTCACTGTCCCCAAGAAAAAGTAGTTATACATCAAGTTTTTTTTTGGGGGGTAAATCATGTTTAATGATTGATCAAAAGCCCTAAGCTGCTTGGTTAACCAACAATAAATAGTTTCATACACAATTCTTCCATTATTGTGTGCTTTTGTTTATTATCTTTACATAATTTTGTTTTTCGAATGTGAAATTATTTCTCCAAGCAACGGCACAATGGCGTGAATATAGAGACCCCATAGCATTTTGTTTGTTTCAAAGATTATGAGGATTGTGTTTGACTCTGTTTCTTCAACATAAAAACTTGTAGATGGATGGGCAGAGAATTCCAAATCTGTTAAAATAGATTAAAAATTAGAAAGTATTTAATTTTTTACTTTGGTTTGCCTTTTAAATGAAATTTGACAGTCAGTATCCCAACATATCACCCGGTCAGATTCAAACAATGACTTGTGCCAACTTTCATCATATTGCACGCAGAGCAATGATTTGGAGAGAATTCGAAGATGTGTTTACCAGAACAAATCATCAGCATGAATTCAGAGCATAGCTCCACCTCCACTGCAGCCCAGCTGAACACACATCTCGTTCCCTCGCCAGGTCCTCCGCCATATGCAAGGTGTTTCGTATGACCTGTGTCCATCCTTCGGTCTCGTTTGCTTGGTTCCTCAACTACTGTTCTTTCCAGGCTGTTGTTAGGACGTTTAAGTGTTGAGCTTTTTTTTTTTTACAACATGATGTTACGTGATAACTGTCTTCATTGTCCATATCTTTACAAATGTCAGTATTTCTCTTTTTTTTGGTTCATGGTATTCTGAGACTAATTACATAGTTCTGCAGCTCAAAAGCCCGTTTTATTTCCTTTCTTAAAGATTGTAAGACAGTAACACATCAGTATGCTGCAACATAGAACGAAATATAAACCCTGCAATTAAGTTAACTTTGATTTGCTTCATTATGCATGGTGACAGGCACACATGCTGTGCAGTCTTGTATGCCTCATCACTATCTTCATAATCACCTATCATCATCACCATGTCATCATCACTGTCATGCATGCACGTTCTGTGTATAAAACTGTTCATTTATAATCCACCAGAAAGATGTTTTACTCTTCGCTAATTCTACTGCCCCATATGCCATCTCCATTTTTGTATGAGAATGTGAGTGTACACGGCTTTAAGGGATATTCACTAATACGGAAATGCAGTGTCTCACCTGCCAACATCATTTCGTGGACATTATAACCTAGGCCAGTGTTTGTTTGCTTGTTTCAGTATCCAGAAGCCTTGAGTTGTTAACCCTTAGGCTCGGTATTATGGATATCGCAACCCTTCGGCCTTGATTCCATAGTAAATACCGTGAATCTGGGAGAAAATGTGGCTTTCCTGTCTACCCCTGGGATTGAACCCGGACCACAAGGAGTTTGTCACCCGGTCTCCGCGCAATCAGGTTTAGCCAACTACGCTAGAGAGCCGGGTCCTAGGCCAGTGAAGAACAGTTAGATAAGACCTGTAGGCCTCTCTTATCGTCGAGTCCTTGCCACATACCCATTTTTTTTTAACTAGTAATCCCTCCCTCGCCCCCCCCCCCCCTTTTCCTCTTAGCTAAAAGGTTTATCTGAATTAAAATCGCATCAACCAAAAAAGTGAAGATGGACCCGTAGGTGGACCCTACGGAATAAAAAAACATGACTTTATTGCCTGCTTCTTAGGTCAACGTCTTTGAAGCTTCGAACTTTACGCAGCAGAACAGTGCTTTCGAGACTCAAAACGCAACACTGTATTTTCATTGAATTAGTTTAGTATTATATACGCTAGCCAGATGGATCTCGTCAGCAAGGGACAGAAGTGATTAGTGATTAGTGATTAGAAAGGATTATCATCACAGCACTCTAAACAGATCATAGTGGGGACAGCAGTCCATCTGAGGTAGCATTTCCTAAAAGAAAATCATAGCAAAGGAGCTGCCTGACTGATAGGTACAGACATACACAGGTCACATCCGAGCGTGCCGTAAAAATTTCGTGATTTTAATGACTGAAAATGATAATGATGGATGTGATATTTCGAATATTGAGCACTGCAGGCATGAGCGGTCGCTCGAAACAGTTCATACCAATATAGAGATCTTTACTCAGCCTCGATTTGTCGATCGAACAAAACAGGTAGGTAAGGTAGGTAAGTTGTACCCCACCAGGACATAACATAAGCTATAAACACCCGGTAAAACAAAGTGCCACCATGCGAATGAGGATCACCCGTGGTGAGGTTCCAGAAACCCCTTTAGGCGGTTAGGCTATATTTATGGCCCGGCTTTATTTAGGGCCCCTAATACAAGCCAAGTTTGGGATTCAAAATGACAAAAAAAATTGACATCTTAAAAGGGCATGACAATCACAATAACGAACAGAACAGTGCACAGGTTTGAGGTTTGAACAACGGATCAACATCATGGCACACGAGTAGTAACCCATAAGTGCTCCCTTCTTTTTATAATTCAAGTCTGAGTGCCAAGAAGCATCAGCACAGTGAACAGGCTATCATCGGAGAGGCTCCTGAAATACTTTGGGTAGATTTTTTTTCCCGGGCAGCGCCGTTAGACTACTCTTTCGATTTCCAACTGCCAAGGCATTTTTTACGTGCACAACTATGCACACGGCCGTCCGATCTCACAACCCAGAGACCAGAGGGAAATTACTAGAAGTCCAAGTTCAGGTTAAAAAAAATTCCAGCCCTTACCAGGGATTAAACCCGGAACCTCTAGCACTTGAGGCTGAGACCATGACTCGAGACCACGCAGAACCCTAAAAGTGCAGAGAAAAAACACAACTGGCCACAAACAAGGAGATAATGCGTATACATATTCATTAATAGACACAGCAGTCGAACAACATTTTTTTAAATAATTGGAACAACAATAAAACTTTGAGGTTTTGTTTAAACTCTGCATAAACAAGCAGAATATAAACTGGTGACTAGCCTTAGCACAGTACTTTTTCTACTAACAGTGGGTAATTGATCTAGGTCAATAAGAAGTAAGAAATATTTGAACAATCAAACACCCGATGTGGTTGTTCAACCCATTTGTTCACAAGCGCAGGAAATACGTCATGTTCTTCCTGATGTTTTCATTTGCTGAAAGATTGCATTCAGAGTAATCTTCCTAGGTCAAAGTTCGATTTGATGTACATAACAGCAAAACTAATGACGTGATATGTTACTGGTACAAATGGTGTCTAAATGTTTTAGAAAATAAGCTATCCGGTGAAAGAGTTATATTTTCCAAAATTTGTGTTATATCCTGTTTGTGAAAATATATATGTAAACACACATTATATATATATATATATATATATATATATATATATATATATATATATATATATATATATATGTATATAGGGAGTCACCGTGGTGTAGTGGCTAGACGTTTGCCTGTGGATCAGAAGGTCGTGGGTTCGGGTCCTGACTGAACCGGGCTTTCTTTAGAAATATCCTTGACTCGAGGTCGACCCAGGCTTGAGTGGGTACCAGGTGCAGCCCTGAAAGTGAAGGCTGCCGATTGACCACATTACCCACCAGGTGCCTGTTGGCCTAAAAAATATAACTCTGGCCCTCTATGCCCAATACGAAAAAGGCGTGAAAATTGGTCCTTTTCATTTACACACACACACACACACACACACACACACATATATATATATATATATATATATATATATATATATATATATATATATATATATTTATATTTATATATAAATATATATATATATATGTATATATGTGTGTGTGTGTGTGTGTGTGTGTGGGTTTGTTATTTGCCATTATTGTAACATATCTCTGAACTGAGTGTGCTTCGAGATTGACCCAGCCTAAAATGGCTACAACGTAATGTCCTAAAAAGTCGACCATTTCACTTTCTGAAGTGCCTATTCGTCTTTACAAATTGGTTGGCACCTTTTAGTCCTTCCAGACGATGGTTTTATATTGTGCTATGGGTAGGCATAGGGATGAGGCTTGTCCTCTCCATAGTACAAAACCTGCGCAGAATTATAGAGACTATGTTGTGCCCGTGCATCATGACCATTCTCGACCCGACTATTCTTTGTTCTATAGGAAAGGTAACATCACTACGTTTGGGACAAAGTGTAGTGCGGAAACTTCCAGATCAAAAGAGTAGGTCCGCCATGCCACAAACAGATTTCAGGACGCATTTCTTGTTCCTAGGTAACTCTTAACACTGAGGTTTTCAACTTCATGGAAAGTTATTGTTAACTGAATAGACTGCATACTCTAGATGTACTAACTGGAGCTGCAAGACAGAAAAACCATGTTGGATCCACCTGGGAACTCATCAACCACAACAGAATGGGAGTTGTTAGCCTGAAAACATTTGGAGGCGCACTCAGGAGGAGTTGGGGTAAATTATGGTCATGTCCGATGAGCCACGAGGATCATCTCTAGAATGAACAATGAACAGTAAAGTTTCACACAATGGTTCGGCAATCATACTTTTGTTGAAACCAACCTAATGATGTTTACTAACACATCGTATGCACCTGCAGGAACAGTTTGAGAACAAGAAACATAAACAGTTTAAGGACAAGAAACAGAAACAGCCTGAGAGCAAGAAAAAGGAATAGTTTAAGAAAATAAACACTGACAGTTGAAGTAAATAAACAGGAACAGTTTAAGAACAAGAAACAGGAACAGTTTAAGACAAGAAACAGGAACAGTTTAAGACAAGAAAAAGGAACAGTTTAAGAAACAATAAAATTAAGTAAACAAACTCTTTAACGCCTCTGCGTGTATGGCAAATCGTCCTAAACATATAGTTTTAGAGACTGGTCAGGGCTTAAAACAAATATGACTCAATCACAGTTTAACCGTTGGCACTACATGTTTTCTGTAAGCATAGGATATTTGGCGGCGTACATCAAATCTGATATCCC